TCAAATACAAGGCCTTCTTATATAGAAAAAAGAACGTCAACCAATAAAAAAAAATCTTCAAGATATAAATGATAAATATACAAATAAGACACAAAAATATGAAGGAACTCCAACAAAAGTTAATAAAAAATATTAAAATAGTGGGAAAGTTAAGGTTTTAAATATCTGCCCGCACAAGTCTCATTCAGCGAACGATGCAATCAAAGAAATGAAAATTCTCCTTTTCTACAAAAAAAATTTAGCCTTCCAGTGGATGTATAAGTGAAAAATACATTCGCAATTTAATTACTGCTACAAATGTGAATGGTGTCAAGCATTATCCTTTTATTCATTAACTGCATCCACGTATACAAAGGAGCTATAGAAATGAAAAGGCAATGTGGAAGAGTTAGAATGGAACAACACACCGTTAAAACTTCTTCAGATCCTATCTCATCGCCACCATAGATGAATAACCGCCCTTCACAATCATTAGGTGCTCTACCGTTTCCAGACCAATGCAAGACAATAACAGGAAGTCTTTTCTCTGAAGATGATAATTGTAATCTAACAACATTTTTAGATACTGGCGAACCTTGTTGACCACTACCAGAAGCGGTAATTAATGTTTTCCAGAACAAGATATCTCCATCTATATATCCCACAGCAAGAATTGATCCATTGGAGGATGCCCAACAGAGAGCACTTATCTCTTTCTCTGCTAAACTATTTTCCAAAGCATCAATTGGAAGGTTATCATCCACTTCGCTTGATGATTCATCAAGTCTATCATTCATCTGCAGGTCCTTGCCGCCTCCAACAAAAAGAACTTGACCTCTTGAGACATCCCAAAGTAAAAACAAGCCACTAGCATATGCTATCAAAACACTGAGAATATTACAAACTGAAATTAGAATAATTTCACCTAAAAGAAAAGGAAAAAACTAAAGAAGAAAAATTGTATCCAAAGGAAAGAGATTAGAACTATTTTTAAGGATAAAACTACAGGTTTAATAGATTTTGTTTTAAAGATAGTTTTTTAAAACCAAGAACAAATTACTGTGATAAAATATTGTATCAGTAAAATTATGTAATTAGTTTTTACTACAAACATCAAAGTTTTAAATATGACATTTAAGTATGAAAAATAAAATTGTGTTCAAATACAAAACATTGTGAAAAAGAAATATTTAACATGTCATACTTGAGTCCAATTATTTTTTTAAATAAGAAACAGTTGGTCCTAAATGTTTCGGAATTCATAAATCATCAAATTCGTGTAATGTTTGTCCCATAACCATTTTTATGCTTCTCAGGCAACATACCAACTCAATCTAAAAACAGAGTTTAACATCTGACTATTCATTGCTGGAAGTACAAAGAAGAATAACCTTTAGTACCAACATTTCAAATCCAAAAGCAAAGAAGTTAATAAAGTTTATTCATTCCGTGCAAGTATCTTACCTGTTCCCAATAGAAGAATGTTGAAGAACTCCAATGACAGGTGAGGTTTGGACATCAGGAAATGGAAATCCCGCAACATCTATGGGCAAAAAAAAAGTGGAAAAAACAGTGTATGGTCATAAGCGAGAAGGAAAGTAAAATGCACCAAACATCTGAGTTAATACACTTTGCTCATTCAACGGTTCACTATTTTCACTTTTGTTCATTTTTTAAAAAATCACCCTTGTAATAAGGAATTTCCTAGTGGGATTAAATACATAAACAGGACATTTGTACATAAACGGATCAAAAGCAGAAGCATACAACACATAGTTCGATGAACTAGACAATAATGCCTCCAACTGAATGAAACAACAGACATTATTACCACTGATAGAAGTTGCAGAAACAAGGTACGGCAACTGCAGAAGTTTTTCTTCTTCGGCATCAAACTTGATAACTGACAAAAGACCATTCTCATCCCCGACATACCTGCATGTTATTGAATAATTTCTTATTTTCTTTTTGTGAAATCATGGCTGAATAGATCAATTTCCAGTTATTGGCCAATTGAAAGCTGAATGAGATGATGCAATGGAGGTTGATATACATGAAGTGGGAGCCACTGACGATGGAAAATGCAGTTATATTTGATTGCCACTGTAAACAGCATGCTATAGACCTGCTGTCAAGATTCCAGACCTGCCATGAAAAATAATGAATAACTACTGAAACATTTTCTAGCATAGATGAACGTGCATCCACCTAAACATGTACGACAGTGTCTTGCCACCAAAAATAAGTAATCGAAAATATTCTACCACAGAGGAATAAAATTTGTGGACGCTTGCAAATCCCGATCAACTACTTTCTGATAAGACTGCAGAGAGTCGTTCCCTCATATTATCTCAAAACACGGCTATAGAAAAGCAGGAATAGAAATAAAACTGAATACCAACTTAACCCGCTGTCTTACCAATGGTATTGAGGTTCAAATATATAAACTTAAGAATACAATGCCGGAGTAAACAAAATAGTGGGGATTAAAATTGTTATTAGCTAGATTCATGATATGGATATGAAGGTGTCTCATCGTGGTTATCAAGGATACAAAACTACTTGGTTAATGAAGACTGAATACCTGAATTTCGTTGCCATTGGAGATGCTAACTAAATAACCCTCATTCTGTAGGAACTGTAAGAAGGAATGCCCAATCAGTTCCATTGCTGCTAAAATAGGAAAGAAGTGAGTTTATAATTCACTTTTAAAAACTGCAGAAAATTTACCTCCAAGTACTTGTAAGGCAATTGGTTTGGGGACATAAGAAGCCCTTCAATACCACCTCCACCGATCACTTTTATTCTTCCATCCCTGGCATGAAAAGTTCATTCAGCTGAAACGATGTCTTCATTTTTCCTGTTCTAGATTTCTACTAGTATACATCAAAATCAAACCCTCACTCATCCAAGGTGCCATAAATTCCACAGGATAACATCACGATTATCTTGCATAATGTACAAGATAGGCCAGTAGCAGGAGAACATACTATTCATAGTTCAGATGCAGGTGACAAGCTACTCAACACTTTTTAACTTTCATATTCATCAAAATTTACAACTAACAGACGACCAACTCACAGTGTTCCAATGGCCAGTAGCCGTTGGATGGAGTCGAAAGCAAGAATTGATGTGGTTGATGGAATGCCATAGTGAACCGTGACTCTGAGATCCAAGTCCTCCGGAGTTAAACTACCGCGCAGTACAGCATGCTAAATGGAGAAAATATGAAAACAAATGATGATTTCGTTTCTGATTAGTTAAACATTGACGACGGCTCAGGATCAAGCATAAAATAGCTAACCATTGCACGTGAAAAGATACCACAGCGTGAAAAATAAGCCGCCAAGGAAATCGCTAGAGCAGTAATGAGAAATGAAAAAGAAAAAAAATAATATCTCCTCCGTTTCTTAATTGATCGGTATTACCTATAATTTGTGCCAAGGTGAAACGAAAATATCTTCCGTTCCTCGCTCGTAACTTAACCAAGACGTACAAAATATAAAGCTAAGATTAGTTCCCTAGATTGCGATATAATGTCGCCTCTATAGATTTGCAGATTACATGATCAAATGGAATATATCTTGTTCAAGATCCTTTTCATAAGATAGACAGGGCATTGAAACATACGCTATGATTAAGATGAAGATTCGTCGCCGCAGCATATTTCAGATTTCATCAATTTTGAGCAAGGAAATTAAAACCCTAGGTCATGTGCAATGTTGATGAATTCGAATACGGCAATTCTTGTCGAAGTAGAACCAGGTAGAAGTCAATACCTGAGAATGGTGAATGGCCTTCTGCAGCAATCGCTTGGCAAACATGATCGATCAACTTGACTCCGACGATTTCTTCCTAGATAGCATCCGATCAATGATCATTCCGATGACAGCTGAAGAAGTGAATTCATCGGTTTTCACTCCCGAATTTCAAGTCAAGGGCCATTCAACTTGCTCTCTCTCTTTCAAAGATTCTCTACGGTATCTTCTCCTTGGATGTATTTAATTTTCGCGCGCGGAACGCCACCTATTAATACTATTTTTGTCCCTCCCTTTCCTTCCTTCGTCCCTCGGTATATCCGCGTAAACATCCATCAACCTTTATATAAAAATAAATGCCAGTAATAAAATTTATAACAGTTTTTAAATAAAAATAACTTAATCGTTAATTTAAATACTTTTTTTTTTATAATTTCCTTTATCTACTCAAATATTCTTAGATATTGAAATTCTATTTTTTATATCTATAAAATTTAACATATACAGCAACCAACAACCAACGTGTGAGAAATGTCAGAGCGGAAAGTATATTGAACTAACAGTGAATTTTCTAATTTTAATTTTAAGTAAAAATACAAAGAAGGTTTGTTTTAATAAAAAAAAATATTGTTAAAAGACTATACTAATTTTGCAATAATAATAATAATAATAATAATAATAATAAATAAACTTATATAACAAAACCTAATTACTAGCATATCGTGGCCAGAAAAAACTAAATTAAATTAGCTTGTCATGAGCGTCAAAACATACCCCATTATCTGCAAATATATAGCCATGAGGGCATTCTTGACATTTGCAAGTGCATCTGAAAAGACGTGCGGTTTCAAAACTCTCTAAAAACTTCTTTTATGTTTACCATTTTGGATATACTTCAAATCTTTTTTTATTTTTTATTTATTTATGTTTGTCTTCTAACTCAAATTTGACTTAATTTATGTTCTAGAAACTATAATTCAATCAATTATCCGTTCTTTAAATAGTTTGAAAACTAAATACAATATATTAATGAACAATTCCCCATTCAAACCTCTAAAATAATAATTGAAAAAATTATCAACTACTTTCACAATTGTTATCTAAAATAAAAGAATATTGTTAAAGGAAGAATGATTTCTAGATAATAAATAAATGTCAATAATCTTCATTAAATTAAATTTGAACTATATATATTATAAGAATAACTACGTTTTATTTTTATTAAATTATTTAAGGCCATTTATCACTTTTCGTAATTTCATTAAATCGGAACGAACATAACAAAAGAAGAAAAAAAAAAAAAAAACTTAATAGATAGCCTTGAATGGCGTGCCTATAACTCAGGAAGGCGGGCACATGGTTCATTCATGTTCTTTTGCCGGTTCAGATCGCCGCTTCTCCATTTTCTCACGGGTTTGAAAGTTCTTAGCCCCCTACATCTCTCTCCTTTTTCTCCGTCGTCGTGCTCCGATTAATAAAATACGGAGCTAGTTACAATTCTCAAGCTCACTTCAGCTTCGTTGCTTCTATCTACTTGATCATGACGGTTGACACCAAGATGAATCGCGAAGGTGAGCTGGATTCGTTCACCTCGAATCATTTACGAGTTTGTTCTAAGAATTTGTGATTTCTAGTATAGAATTTTGTTTACATTTGGTTTGATGCTTTATCCATGTCGTAGCTAATTTTGTTTTATCTGATGCTATGTTATGGCGGACTCGTACATTAGAATGAAAATCCATTTCATCTACTTGATTGGTTCCCGATTTCTCAAGATCCTCTGAGTTTGATAGTAGTATGTATGTGATTGTGCATTTTCCCCAAGGAAATTAGTTTGTTGAATATGTTTGATCAGTTATTGTAGAAGGGGGAAAATTATTAATTTTATTTTTGCCGGTTACTACAAATTCTCGATTAACACTTTACTTCATGTTGAGCTTTTGAGCTTGTTTTAATTTTGATTATGCTTCTGCCAACAAATTGACCATCAAATTCCATTCAATTCTATGCGTGCAGTCGGGAGTTCTTTAATCATTTTATGTTTCCGATGTTTGAATTATTAGGCCTCTTATTCTTCTGTAAAATTGACGAATTATTGCAGATGATAAGGACAAGAATTCAAGAAGTGCTTACTTCGGTTCACCGGCCTTGGATGTTTCTGTTGCGTTCCCTCAAGCAACTGCTGCATCTGTCTTTCCTCCTTCCGGTTGAAATTCTTAACCTCCACTGCTTCTAGTTCTATTTCCGACTATCATCTTTATTTCTATTAGGCTTTAGCTCATGCATTTACATTTGGTGTAACTCCAGTCATTTCTTCCCAACGTATACTTGACTTCACCACGGCTCATTAAAGTTTTTTTTTACAATTGTGCACTCAGATTTTTTGCTTTTGTATTTTTAAAGATCCCCAGTCACTGCACACTCGGGATCTAGTAGCCAAGGGTAATAGGGTCAGTTGCTCTCATAAGTGTTGAAACAACTTTTTTACTGGTTCAATGTCATCCTTCAATTCGTTTGTTTGTTTATTTCCCCATTCTTGAAATTTTCTTTTGTATAATTACAGTCTCGGACTACTATCAGTTCAACGACCTATTGATTCCTGAGGAGCAAGCTCTCAGAAAAAAAGTGAGACAGTGCATGGAAAAAGAAATTGCTCCAATTATGACAAAGGTGCTATTTTTCTCCCACATATCTCTTTGAAGGAAATGATACATGTTTGTGTACTAAAAGTTGGCCTTTGTATCGGCTACTAATTCACTGTCAAGTTCCGTTTGGTCTATGCTATGTCTCTTTTGCTTGTTTAAACTACAATTCTAAAGTCTGTTGATCTGGAAGTTTTACCTTGTCAGTATTGGGAGAAGGCAGAGTTTCCATTTCACATTATCCCAAAGCTTGGTAACTTGTGCATTGCCGGTGGTACGATCAAGGTACTTGCTTTTTGTTTCTGTTTCAACTCTTGACTCTACGTTAAATTGTTTCAAGATATCTGAGTTTTTTTTGGCCTATCAGGGTTATGGGTGCCCAGGTATGACTATTACTGGATGTGCTATAGCTACTGCTGAAGTAGCGAGAGTTGATGCAAGTTGTTCCACTTTCATTCTGGTGCATTCATCCCTGGCAATGCTCACTATGGGTAAGTATTTGGAATTACCTCTCAGTTATCATACTCTTGGAACTGTACGTTATTGTCCAAGTTTTTTTTTTTTTGTAGTAGACGTTAGGTGCTTAAGTGTTCAAGATTTCATATAATTTTTATTAATCCTCAATAATAGCTCTATGTGGATCGGAGGAGCAAAAGCAGAAATATTTACCTTCCTTGGCAAAGTTGGACACCATCGCTTGTTGGGTAAGGAGATTGTTATTGAACTGGATAATCAATTTCATAGGGCGTGCTTAGCTTTCAGTTAATTGAACAATTCTTTTCTGCTTTTCTAGGCTTTGACTGAGCCTGAAAATGGAAGTGATGCCAGTGGTTTAAGAACAACAGCAACAAAGGTTTCGTGCTCTTTACTTTCTTGTCTGTCATTTTTTACTGTAGGAATGGCTTTCCAATAATTGGCATAGTTAAACGTTTTTAACCTTTTATATTTATTTGACATTGAGACAACCAGGTTGAAGGAGGTTGGTTAATAGAGGGGAAAAAACGCTGGATAGGAAACAGTACGTTTGCTGATTTATTGGTTATTTTTGCCAGGAATACAATTACGAATGAAATAAATGGGTAAGTGCAAGGTGGTATAAATGCTCTTCACTATCATTTATTACAGTGATCGTCAAGTATTTACATAAAAAAAAGGGAGGACACATGCAGATGATTCCCCATTTCTGAACTTTTTTCTGAAACTTTTTGCATTGCGTGTTCCACTCTAGTCAATATAATTTGTAAGAACGTATCTTTTAGAATTAATTTCTGTAAACAGCAAACTGAGTACCCTCCCTGTGATACTCATGAAAGTTTAAATTCTCTGTGATGTCCACAATACTTACAAGATGCCCTCTCTTCACCCTCCGTTGGTAAGCTGTTTGCACATCATTCATGTGTACATTAGTACTTAAGATGTCTGCAGATTCATGCTACACTCACACATCCCCATGTTACATGTCACACGCCGACTCTGCCTGAAAAATGCCATATAGGAGCAACTAAAAATCCAAAATTTACTCACAAAAGTGTGTTATACCGGTAGTTCATTGGATCATATCATTTGAATGATTCTAGCTTCTTGAGTTGCCACGTGTGCACTATTCAGAAAAAGTTAAGAATAATCAAAAGGTGGCAACAAGAAGAACACAACTTATGATATGATTTTTTGCACTTGCGTTTTCAATAATTTTACCCATATAACATTTTTCCATGGATTCTGGATTTTCATTTTGGCCTTCCAGATTTATAATGAAGAAAAATTCCCCTGGTCTGATGGTTACAAAGATCGAAAATAAAATTGGTTTGCGGATTGTTCAAAATGGAGACATTGTGATGAATAAAGTTTTTGTGCCCGACGAAGATAGGTTACCTGGTGTAAATTCATTCAAGGATACAAATAAGGTAAGTTTTTTTTTTAAATGTTCATCTTATTCTTGTCTTGTTGCACATTTCAGCTTGTATGCATGTGTTAGAAAAAAAGTCATACCTGCTTATTTGTCGTCTCTTTATTTCTCTTGATAAAATGGGGTATTTCATTGTCAGTGGCTTCCATGATATTTCATATTCTAACCTCTAATTTTGATCGATAAAGTAAACGAAGATTCAGTGGATACTTTCAGATTTTACTCTGTTTCCCACCTTTTTGTTTGATAAAAATTTTCATCTCTCTTTTTCTCATACTCAAATATGACACCAAGGGATTTGGGATGCTCGTGTATGATTTGAAATGTGACCAAAAAGTATGAATGATTGGTATGCCTAATACTTTCACAATACATGTTGAAGTTCACTGATGTGATGGAAAATCTGAAAACCAATTCATTGGCCTGTTAAGAAAAATAATTTTTTCTTGAATTTAGTTTCTTTTTATGAACATTTTTATCAGTTCTATAGTTATAACTAGTGCTCTACGTGGCAGGTTTTAGCGGTTTCACGTGTAATGGTTGCCTGGCAGCCCATTGGCATAGCAATGGGCGTTTATGACATGTGCCATAGGTAGGTATAACAAACATTTTGTTACCCTTTTTCTTCTAATTGATCTATTAATTGCAAAATCTAGGCGTTATATTTCTAATGTCTAAGCAATCCAGATATTTGAAGGAGAGGGAACAATTTGGAGCACCATTAGCAGCTTTTCAAGTTAACCAACAGAAACTTGTCCTCATGCTGGGAAATGTTCAAGCAATGTTCCTCGTGGGTTGGCGACTTTGTAAATTATATGAAAAGGGCACGATGACTCCAGGTCAAGCTAGCTTGGGGAAGGTTAGAGCTTAGGATTAAACTAAAATAACTTGATGAATATTAATTAATTGTCTCCCTTTTCATTAATATGTGTTTCTTATATTGGCATCAGGCATGGATCACTCTGAGGGCTAGGGAAACCGTTGCTCTAGGACGTGAGTTGCTTGGAGGCAATGGGATTTTATCTGACTTTCTAGTTGCAAAGGTTTGCAAATACTCACTTTCTTGTTTATGTCATATATTGACGGAAAATGATTTTGGGTTCTGATTTAAAATATGGTCCTATAATACGTAATTAGTTATCTTTCAAGCTTGAATTTTAATTACAAATTTAGTCTGTGAACTATAATCTATAAAATTTGCTTATAAATTAGAAACTAAAATGCTATTTTTTTCAGGCATTCTGCGATTTGGAACCAATCTATACGTACGAAGGAACCTACGACATCAACACTTTGGTAACCGGCAGAGAAATCACTGGTGTTGCCAGTTTCAAGCCTGCTTCTCTAGCCAAAAGAAGCCGTCTCTAATATGTTTTCTGCCTACCGACGGTTGCAAGATTTTCTGATGCGAAATTTTGCACACTGGCTGGTGAGGTAACCAAATGATATTATCTATGAATAAAATGTGTATTTATTTAGTTTCTTATGGATTCTGTCTACGGGATACTTCATCACAATGTGTGGATAAACTATTTAAAATTAATAAAAACATCAGTTATTAACTAGTTTAAAGATGAACTAATCAGCAGTGACATTTGGAAGTCGTTCTCTGTAGCGCACATAGTTTTAGCAAAATGTTCTCAGCCGATTATTGTGAATAGAAGAATGAACATATGTATGTGACGAATTAGTCTCTATCATAAATATATAAATTTAGAGATCGATTAGACAATTGTGTTTTTATCTTTATAAGATCTCATCAAATTAAGAGTTTTACCAATAAAACCTGGATGGGAACTATTTTCTTTTATCTTCTCTGACTCCTACAATAACAATTTTTGTCTCAAACGAGGAAGATCAATTGCGTCCTAGATAAGGTAAAACAAAATACTTCTTCACAAATGGAGCTCAAAATTTGTCTTGTCATGCTCCATCATAGAAATTATTCAAATAGTAGGACTCATTCCATCTTTGATAACTACGAAAGTTCCATTTAATGATAGTACTTTAAATGTTCGAAACTTATCTCATCACTTTTCTCACCAAAACTAGAAAGGTAATGCATAATTTAGTAGATATGCCTGAATTTATGGAGATTTGATGTGAAAGTTTAATGTAGCCATACAAAACTTCTAATTTAACGGTCTATAGATCTATTGAAACGGAATGTCAAATCTGCAATTGAATTATAGATCTCTTATAGGTGGAAGTAGAATGTGTTTATGTGGGGAAGAAGTAAGTATTTGGGAGAAGTAAAATTCTTTTTTCGACCTCTTTTAAATAATTGTAAGGCTTGGAGAACTTTTGAAGTAATTTATGTATAACTTTCTTAAAATAAGGGAAATAACTTAAACAAAATTTTAAATAAAAAATTTAAATCATCTATTTTTAAAATAGTTAATGTATACGTTTTATAGTATATACATAATATTATATGCAATTTTTCGTCTTTTCACTAATTCCACAATTTTTTTTTTATTTGTTTAAGAAAAATTATTGAATAATTTATTTTGGTGCTTGTCAGTTAATTTTAAAGATTAAAAAAAAAGTGGAAACAGTGATATAATAATTAATTTGTGGTTTTAATTTATTAAAAAAAGAAACTAATTTTAGAGATGTGAATGAATTTTTGTCAAAAATAAATAAATGAAGAATCGAATTCTGGTTAAGAGAGGCATCAGGTTCTTCTGCAACCAACGCACACTATAGATTGAGGCGAGAAGTCTGGCTCCCGCGTAAAGAGGCTGGGTGGGCTTGCGTTGGAGGGAAATTAGGGCATTGAACCATTGTCATCGCGACGATATTATTTAGGTAAAGATATCCTAACTTCATCTGTTTCGATCGACTTTCCATTGTTGAAATTCCGTTTGTCTGCGTTATTTTCCATTGATTGAAGGGTTTTGCTTATGCTTATCTCTTCTGTACTTCTTTACGAGTTTTTATAGTCTTCGCCGATTTCTTTTGATTCCTTGAAGGAAGATAAAACCAGATTCTGTAAACTTCTTCTTCCGTTTCAGGAATACGCATCAAGCAGCCATCTGAATCGCTATTGATTTATCTGAATACTTGGAAACGAGCATGGCGGGTGGAAATTTCATGCACAGAGTAGTTTCTTACCTCGTGAATGAGGTTCTCGTCAACAGTCTTGCGAATAGGTAATTGAATGTCGGACTTTATTGCATTAGAGGACTTCTTTTCTTCTTTTTTCGTGCCCGTATTTGAATTGGACAATGAGGATATATATAATGAGCTTCATTCTCTGGCCTGAGGGACGGATTTTAGTTCCTATTTGGCTCGTTCTATCGAAAGAAAAAAAAAATATTCAAATTTTCTTTTATGTTTATCTTCTGCCTTCATGGTTGGGTGTGCCGATAAAGAAATCTGAGAAAATTTTGCTAGAGGTCCATTAAGCTTCCATATATGAAATTTTATATAAAATTGATGTCCAACGATCTACGTCTGTTAAACAAGATTAAGCGGTTGGAGTTGAGAGCAAATTTATTTATTAGCTTTAGCGCATGGTTGATGGTTGCGCGTGCAGCTTGGGAGATTCGATAAACTTTTGCTATAGGTACATTTTCTATTTCTCAATTGAATTGATGGTGTCTGATCTATGTTTGTTAAATCTATGCTGGAATCGAAACTTAAGTGGTTGAGTTAGAGTAAATTTTATCTTTTAATATATATTTTTCATTTGCGTGGTCTGTTCAGTTGTTTGTACAAGTTCTAACAGTTAGATTACTTATATAAAATGGGATGAAAGATAGGTTTGTCGCTTTGTGCTTTGAAAACACTTCTTTGGTTATAGTCTTTCCAAACCCATTCAGAAGTGGTGGTAAAGGATAGGACAATTTGTAGCTAGATCATTTAGGAGGGCCTTATTAGTGAAAAAACCTTTGGAGTCTTTTATCCAAACCCATTAAGCTTGAGGGAACGATGGTTTTTGCAAAGGAACCGGGGTGTCGATACAGGAAAAAGTCAATTTAATCTTGTAACTATATTGTCCTTAAATTGCTATGAAGTGTATACTACGAAAAGACGGGGGAGCGTTGTTTTCAATGAAGACTGTATCAGTTTCTGTACTTGATTTTTATAAATTATTTTCACAATTCTGTTTTTTCACTCTAAATTAGATGAGTCTTTCCATTTTCCCCTTTGTTTATACTGAATGTATTTCATTGATCTGTTCAAAATTCTGTGTGAAGTCTTTTGTCTTCCCCAAGATTATTTCTTATTCTTCCCTCGTTTGAACAATCTCTAATGCTGACATTGTGGGCATGCAATGATTATGGAGAGGATTGAATCAATTATACTTGAGAGTTTGGCAATTTAGGAATCTTTTCCCCCCAGTATTTCTGCTATTGAATCCAAGATATGTTCAAGCTCAGTGACAATTGAAAAGTCACATTTTCACATTTTCCCTTACTTGCAGCCGTGCGTTTCAAAGGTTTGCTGTGAGGACATCAAAGCAGATCGAGGATATATCCAACAAAGGTAGCAACTTTAAGGTTTTTGTTTCATTGATTCAACTTATGCTAACTAGACCTTGGAGTTGTCTTGCAGCTGCTCGGAAGAAGCAAGAACTTGCGGAACAAGTGAAAGATCTCTCCAAAAATTTTGATGTGAGATTCTATTTACAACTTAGATCTTTCTTATTTTGAACAGCATAGAGATATGTCCTCACGCCTTGTTTGATTTTTCGATTTTTCTTTTGCAGTCTTTCAAGAACCAATAATGGCAGAGTGGAACGTTTTATTGCGACATTATGTAAATCCAATTCCAACTTTTCAAATCCGTTTGCTCTTTACTTATAATAGTCGCAGATTCCATTAAGTAGTAGTAGTACTGTTTACAGCCTTATCTTGTCTATGTAATGAATAATTGTGACGGTAAAATTTTAGATTTGTTCCTGAAACTTGGGTCAGCTGTGCCTGTGTTTGAAGCCAGCCAGGATAAACCAATTTCTGCCTTGCTACCTCTTGACTGTGTAACCTGTTTACAGCCTTATCTTGTCTATGTGGGACTTTTAAGGAATTGCCAATTTTGGTATCTCAAGAAACTGGCGTCCGATCATGAAGCAGAACATGCCTTTTAGCCATTTGGATGAAAAAGTTATACGATTTTAATAAACACCTAAAGCTGAAATGCATGACTACCAAGTCCAAGCCTATCGTTTTATGAATTTGAAAACATCAACTAAAACTATCGACATAAAAACATACAATTATAGTCATACGATTTATCACTTAAGAAAGTGTGTATAAATGTTAACCGAGAGACTTTTTAATTCCACGAAACAAAATTTTAAAATTTCTATAATTTTTTAAAAAAGAAACTATATCGACACCAATCTTCCTCTGAGAATTCACATATATTAACACACAACATAGAAAGATGGTAAAAAAAAAAAAAAAAAAAAAAAAACAAGGTTTAAAGACAGAAGGAACGAATGAAAAGATGAAAGAGTAAACGAAATAAATTAGGGTGATACAGTCGCACATCTCACCGACTATCAAAATCCAAGTATGTCAACCATACAAAAGAGAAGTTGGATTCATTAATAATAATACCCAATAAAGAACTTTCACCACTTTAAATCTGGCAACCATCACCTGCTCATTGTGTGTACAAACGAGGTAAAGCCAAATTTTAAGAAAGAAAAAAGCGAGGGGGAATTTCCTGTTTTGTCCTTTTACTTCTTTTTTAGGGTGTGGTTTTTGGGTGCTCATTCTTGGGAGGCACCACCATTGACTGTGGCATCCATAGGCTCATCAGCATCTTTAGAGTCCTCTGTTTTGTCTCCCTTCTTACCTGCCAACAACGGAGTAAATGTTCAGAAGATCAAATCAAATACTATCCGAAACATGTCCGTTGGTTGTTGGTAAAGAGTGGTTGGAAAAGTATTGTCAGACCAACCTATTATTTTTTAAAAACCAAAACAGTACATCGGAAAACATTATGTCAATGGCAAAAAAAATGTTTTTGTGGTCTGTCTGATAGCTAACCTTTCTTCTTCTTTCCGCCACCCTTTTTCTTTGTCTTCGTGCCCAATGCCAACCATGCCTTGATTTCAGGATCCTCAATTGTTTTTGTAGGTTGCAGATCCTGCAGGGGATGAGATGTGACTCGATCGGATCCATTAGGCATCAGCAAAACGGTGAATTTGATATGAGCAACGTAATCACCTGATATACACAATGAATTTAGCTATGCAGCAAAAAAGAATTGAAATGCTTAGGCCAAAAGGAAGCTCAAACATAATCAGTCTCACCAGGCTTCTCATGAAGAACAGGGTATGGCTGCAAAAGATCATGGTTAACACATTCCACCAATCCAAGCCGAGCCCTTTTCTCTTCCAAAGCCCTGCAGCAATTATGAGATTATATGAATAACAATAGAGGTGCAGAAACAAAAATATTGACAGTGGCCATATGAGAAGCATAACAAACCTTGCTGAAAAAGGCATTATAGGAAACTTCTGAGTTATTTCACTGAAAATAAATCTAGAGGCTTTCATCTTTAAATGATAGTTCCTGTCCACAGCTCTTTTATAAATAGTTGTCTGCTTCTCATCCAACAACTTGGGCTTTCCTTCTCCTGTGCTTGTAACTATATCTATTGAGTACACCTCGTTCTCCTCAAATTCTGCTTCATCAACCCTCGTCTCAGGATTGGCAACGCTCAATACAACCTTGTTCCCATCAATCACAAACTGCTTCAGCTGATGGCTAAGAACACCTTCGACAATTTTGCAGTCATAAGATGCAGCAACCTTTTGAATTGCTTCTGTAACATCCTTGTTCTGTAAAAAATGAAGTTTTATCAAAAGAGTGAAAAAAAAAAAAGAAATAGAAAAGAAGTTTAATAGAGAATTGAAATGGGTGACTGCCTTTTTTGAAAAGGCCACACACGTGGTTATCTAATTGGCAATACTTCGAAATAAATGAGAAAACAACATTTAAAGAGCACTCAAAATTTTGTTTATCCCAAGTTCCTAAACATTGAAATCAAACCAATGAAAGTCCATGATACTCTATCAGTGTAACTATGACATGAAAAGGCTTCATTGGATGCAATCCATAGCCATTGTAGTTATCATCAAGTAGAGACCATGTTGCCAAGTTGAGGCAATGTAGAATAGAAAATTCTAATAAAAGAAAATTTTCAAAACAAGAAAACAGGAGAGGAACCCCAGGATCCTAAGCCTCGAAATAAAGTCACCTTAAGTCCACGATACTCTATCAGTGTAACTATGACATGAAAAGGCTTCATCGGATGCAATCCATAGCCATTGTAGTTATCATCAAGTAGAGACCATGTTGCCATGCAGAAGCAGTGTAGAATATATAATTCTAACAGACGGAATATTTCAAAGAAACCAAACAGGAGAGGAACCACAGGATCCTAAGCCTTGAGACACAGTCACCTTAAGTCCATGATACTCTATCAGTGTAACTATGACATGAAAAGGCTTCATTGGATACAATCCATAGCCATTGTAGTTATCATCAAGTAGAGACCATGTGTTGTACAAAGACAATGTAGGAAAAAAAATGTTCTAATAACAAACGGAATTGTTTTTATCAAGAAAACAAGGGGAAAAAATTTCCTAGGTTCCTAAACCTTGTAAAAAACCACGTCAAGACCATGATTCTCTATCAGTGTAACTATGACATGAAAAGGCTTCACTGGATGCAATCCATAGCCACGGTAGTTATCATCAAGTAGAGACCATGTTGCCGCACAAAGGCAATGTAGGAAAAAGTGTTTTAAGCTCACTGAGGTGTACAAATATTCACTAAAAACTAATTTGTTATAGGCACCTCCATATTCCGTAATATACACTAAAATGGTTGTAAAAAGGAATTTGGCAAAGAGAAACTATGATAAAACCACAGTAAAATGATTTGGGCCAATATTGGACAATATAGGTTTGACTACGGATGACATGCCTACCTAGTGTTACTCCAAATACGGCCATAGTTCATGTAGGCAACAGGGAAAAGAGGAAATTAAAATAACCAACTGATTACCTCGGCAAAGTTGCCTTTCAAATAATCAGAAAAATCAACATTCATTTCGTAGAATTTAAATATCCAGATATTCACAACATACTTTTAAAAAATATCATGATTCAGCCAACAGACACAAAAATTTTACATCAAGTCCAAACGAATTAAAATTTATAGCTCAACTGCATAACAGGTTACCTTTTTTCCAGGCCTCACGAGCCTCAACGCAACTTCGGCTGCAGTGTTAGCAGCTGCAATAACATCAGCAGCTCTTCCTGTAACGGGACCTTCTTGGAGCACATGAGTATGAGCGACCACAGCAATAAACCCGTCTATATGACAACCTAAGTCACTGCATTAAGACAAAATTCCACCACGGTTTTATAATTCCATCATTAGTGTAACAACTGAATTACCCAAATACATTAGTACAGCTTACATCTTAACTATATCGCCCTCTTCCAAAACTGTCGCGTCGGATGAAAGGGGTGAGAAGTGACATACAGTGTTGTTGACAGAAATGCAAGTTGGAAAAGCAACACCTCTTTCAATCTTCTTCTTGGCATTTTTGTACACATTGCCAGTTTGTCTATGCCCAACAAGAGAGAAACAAAAAACACAGAGAGAAGACCCCATTAAATTAGGCAGTTGAATGGACTTGAACAAGCGCGATCAAAAAGTAAATAGATCCTTCAACTTTAATAAACTTACTCTCTAATGAATGAATCCCCTTTCTCACAAACGTCAACAATCTTTGCTTTTGGTTTGCATTCGGATATCACCAACTGCAATGCCTCTGCATAAATATCCATTTGATCACTTAAAAAACACGTTTCCACATAGAATACACCAATTTTCAGTATAAACATCAGCAAAAACAGGGCTCGATTATCCGAAAAACGGGGCTCGATTATCCGAATCTTAAACTCAAATGTTATATAAAGAGAGAGAGGGATGGAGTGTTACTGTTGGCAATATCAGCGGCGCTTTTGTATTTGGTGACTACTTCAGGAGAAGTAAGATCGAGCTCCTTCTCCTCCCTTTCCTCGTCGGACATCATCTACGCCGGCGAAGAAAAAAACAGTCCGACCGATTAAAAGCGGCTGAGAAAGAAGTGAGGCAAATTAAGATAAAAGTGTGAAGGTTGATAGAGGACACCAGGTACACCAGAGAGGAACCAAGAAAAGTGGAGAAGGATTTAGGGTTACAATCGGTGAGGTGAGGCCGCACTTTCGATTTCTTATATAAGATTTTATTTCCAATGACGATCTAGGGTTTTGGTTGTGATGCGTGTATCTTTGCAATACTCATGTGGCCCCACCACCGTTAGGAGACTACCATATTTTGTATTTATTTATTTATTTATTATTATTATTATTTTCATTTATTGTGTTAACGATTTAGTTTCTTGTAAGACTTGTTTCAAATAATAACAAAAATATCTTTAATACCAGCTTTTGGAAAATAATACAATAATTCATTAATTTATAGATTATATTTAATTAGGACTATTGATTTTGATTTTTTAAGTTTAGTAACCCAAATCATCAACCCTTTCAAAGTTAATTAATATATTTATTTATGGAGTAAAATAAATATATTAATTAATATTAATAACGTCACATATGGTATCTCTTTTATTTTATCCGTACTTGTCATTTTATTTCGAACCTCTTTCACAATCTCTGGAGAGATAGTTCACTAATAGACCAAGGGATAGGAAAATCGACTCATTCACATCCAGAACATGAATGTATGGTATCTATATTATGCAAGGAGACATTGCTTTTGCTAGTTCGAATTGAAGGGTGATATAAAATCGATCTATTTCCGACATATTCATAGCTAGCGGCGCATTCATCGTAGTTAGAAGCTCCAACTCCGTATCAAGGTCACCGTCGATATCGTCACTATCATCAATATGACTTGGTTTGCTCAGTAGTTTTTTTTTGTTCTAGATAAAATTATTAATTTTATTTGAAAACACGCATTACAATAATTATAAATAATTATAAGAGATTTATTATTTGATTCCTATGATAC